GCCGCAGCAAAAAGCAAAGCAGAAGGGGGGACGGGAAGTCAGGAACCGCTTCCCCCACTCAAGTTCGTCTGAGCAGGGGTCTTCAGTCCGCTAGAGTGTGGCATGGCGCTCGATCGCAATTCGAATTTCCCTCTGGAAATCTCCCTGTGCTCAGGTCGCGGCGTCCCGTCGCGCTCGCTCTCTCTTAGGTACCTTACCTCAGCTCAGTCTGTCAAACAGGGAGAATGGAAAGGTGCTGATGTTTCTACCGCTGCTCCTTGACCCTTCCCACCACTACCAGTGACCACCTGGGCTGCCTGACTGCCACTTTTGATCGTCCCCCTCGTGGCTTTCCCGGCAAAGTAACTCTGTGTGCGTCACGCCAATCTTTGCCCGTTCCTTCTTCCTTTTCCCACACCTCGTTGCAAATCCTCCTCTCGTTTTGCTGCTTTTCTGACCTTTTGGTCAAGGGAAACATATCCTCACATCTTCATCTCATCTACGGCGGCCTCTTGTCACTCTTTTTCTTGACAACCTCCCGAGGTGCATATTCCTCCGACAACCCGGCAGACTGCGTCCTGTGCCGTTTCGCTCCTTTTTCGTTCCGTCTCATCTCCTTGGCCATTCCCGAGGCTGTTTGACGGTCCTCCTCGTGTCTCTCATTTCTACCTTTTTTCGTTCGTTCTCTTCGCAAAGCAGAAGAGCAAAATTCCAGCTCAAAAGTCATTCCTTAAGCAAGCCATACGAATACCGGAACCTCGCCTCTCTCGCCGCCACTCTGGGATTTATTTATCCTCAACACGTCTCACGAAAACGACCACCCCTCAGCTACAGCCTCCCTTCTACCTGGGATAACCGTGTCTCTCGACAGCTTGGACACGAATTGCGACCCACCCCTTTTCTCAATACTCGCACCCAGCAGCGTCACCAAGCAATAAGACCAAGACACCCAATTTGTTGGCCACGGATCGCCTATTTTTCGGGGTCATCCTGTTGGACCTTGCCGTGCTTGCTGACTTGCACCGCCCAGTTTCAGTGCCATTTTGAGACGAAAGCCTCTGGGCTTTTTGCTCGTTTGTCGCTACCATTCGCTACAACGTCCCCTACCACCTGTTCACCAGCCCACCCACGCAAGGGGGCGAACGCTTTGCCCTCCCATAGGCAGTGACGACAGAAGAAGACTTGCATTCATTTACCGGCAGTACAGCGGCACTACTCATTTCAGTTCTCATCCTCTGAGGCTCTCGAGGTTCGACCTTTTTTTGGTTCACGCCTACCACTTACTTTCCTTTGCCATCTTGGCTTCAAGTGAGATCGTTTTGCGCGATTCCGACCGCCCGTTACACCTGCACGACGACGTTCTCTTGTACCACGAAGCGGTTCGCCTTATCCCCCAGCGGTCCGCCGATCACCGTTCAAGCCGATCAAACGACGAAACATCGAGCCCATGAGATGATGGAGCCATAGTCCGCTTCTAATTCCGCAAATCAATCACCCTCGACCAACCAAGCTCGACGTACCCAAATTTTGTGGGTAATTCGCCGAAAATCACGTTCTTTGTTGGAGGTAAAGCCGAACAAAAATCATTCAAAATGCCTTCGATCGATGTCGCGATGGCGAGGAGTCTCCGAGGAGGAGTGTGGGGATCAGTGGTGTCGAGCATGGCCGCGGACATTCAGAGTCGCGGAATTACAGACACAGTACAGAGCGCCGGAAACTCGATCAACGATGTGAAGACGGCGCTGTCTAGTTGGGACAATTGCATGTCCGTTAATTTCTGCAAGTAGGTTATGGTCATGGCCTCACTTCAATTCCGACACACTAACTTGCGCAGGTGGCCCGTCATTGGAATCATGATCTTCGGAGGCCTGATCATTTTCTCTATCGTATGGTGCATCATCCGGTGCGCTTGCTGCGGTCTGTCGTGCTGCTGTCAGTGTTGCTACTGCTTGAAGTGCTGTGGTAACTGCTGCGGTTGCTGCGACACCCCCAAGGGAACACCTCACAAGCACCTCGACGACAATTCGTATGGACCGAACAATCAGGGATATAAATCCCAGGCGCCCATGGCTCCCTTTTACAACAATGCCAGCACCGCGCCTGCACACCAGGCGAACTCAACAGCACCCGTGGCTTCCGGAGCTGCAGCGCCGCCCCAGTATGCTGAATTCGAAGTAAGCAAATCAGGTGCCAATCCGGCAGACGCCGATTCACTTCCTGCGATGCCCAGTTGGGAGGGTGCAGGCTCGAAGAAGGTGGCACTTGAGGAGGAGGTGGAGCTCGAACAGATGAACAAACCGGCGGTATCACCGAACCCGAATGGACAGAACATGCCTCTCATGGCACCCAACGCCATGTCCCATCCGAACAGCCCCATGCCGGGTGACAGGAGCCCTTATGGCCAAAATCCTCAGGCCGGTCCCAGCGGTTACTTCACCAACGCCAATCAGCCTGCGGGTCTCTACGAAATGGCAGGTAACGGCTACAGTGATGGAGCGTACGGACAGTCAGCGTCTTCTTTCGGCGTAGACCAAGGATATGGAAATGGGGCCATGGCTGCCGGAGGCATGGCGATGCAGGCTAGAGGTACACCTCACCAAGAGTTCAACAACAATGGCTACGGGCCCCAGAGAGGTCAGACGTACCCCCGTCCTCAGCAAGAATTTGATCAGGGCTTCGGCAACAGCTACGAGCAGGGAGGCTATGGCATGGGCCGTCCTCCCCGTAACGGCCCCAGCCCGGCACCGATACCCCGAAGCTTCACAGCACCACCTCGCGATGGACCCAGTCCCGCCCCGGCTGGATATCGCCGCTCTCCTGGTCCTCAAGCCGGCGGTTACCGCGGCCCTCCACCCCCTCCCAGCGACTACCGGCGATCCCCCGCGCCTCAAAACGACTACGGCTTTGACCAGAAAAACCAGCAAGGCCAGTTTCTCAATGAGAACTATGGTCGTCCCCAGTACGGAGCAAACTCGCGTCAACCGTCTTCAGAGTCGACTCGCCCTCTTGCTCCTCAGCGCAGCTACACTGGCGACCAAAGCATGGCATCTCCGGACCTGCATGATTCTGGCGGTTTTGACTTCAGCTCTGGCTACAGTCGTCCGCAACAATACAACTATAACCGCGGCCCGAGCGGTGGCAACCAACATGTCGAGGACGAAGACGAACAGCGACCCCCGCAAAGCAGCGGAGGCACCTACCCAGGATACAAGGCGTACCAGCCAACAAAGGATGGCTGGAGTGGCGTCTGAGCGAAATGACAACAATAACGACAGAAGGAAAAGAGCATATGCACACCTGCCCAAGAGCACCAACAGCTCCCTGCACTGGGGGCGACTTCTATTTAAAGACTAATGCAGTCAGAAGTTCATTCGAGGCGGCGTTACTTTGAGTTTCTGATAAAGGTGTGCCTTGGATGGTTAATCCTTGTCTATTACATGCAAAACTACTGGACGTTTGTTTGGAAACACCCAAAAAAGAGATGCGGTTTTTCGGGGGCCTTTTGGAGTTTCGGGCATACAAAGAGCCACTGTCTTTTCAACCCATGACCGAGGAGCAAATCGGAGCTGTATAATGACCACGGTCAAAGATTTTGTTTGGTTGGATTTTCAATTGTCAGATTTTTTTTATTCTCCATGTTTACAAGGCGTCGCATTGGCGCGGTATTCTCAGATTTTCTGTTTGGCCCTTTCTTTTGCATCTTCTTCGAGTGGCAATGGCCAACCACATGGCAAGGTTCTTCTTACTTGGCGATGGACGAGCCGCAGGCTGGCGACGTACTTTGATGCCATGTCATCCAGTTTCGGATGATTTAGAGTTTGGGGCTGTGTGTGGAGGATATGACTCTGTGTGGAAGTCGCAGTGTTGAAGATGACAGGGGAGTGGGCGGCTGAGGAGACGAAGCTGGGTGTTAGGTGAATAGCACTGATCCAGCTGGCTTGAGGTAGTTGTGCTTGGCTAGAAGCCTTTCAATCGGGCTTTTCGCTGATGGCATGGTGGATGAATACCAAAAACTTCCCGATACAAAGATTGATGAAGTGCTATGTGATGGTCATGGAAGTGAGTTGGATTGCCTAGATCCACCTGCTTGCCTCACTCTATGTGTGTACGATTCGTCAATGACAGCCTTCAGTACTCGTGAGTCCGGTAGGCGACCATGATCCAACGTATTCGATTGATCAAGCCAACTCGGTTCAAATAGTCATTGAAGCGCTTATTCTGCGCTCAAGCGCTGGTCTACCAACCCACTGCTAAGAGAGTTGACTTTCCTTCGCTCACTAACCCGGGGGCCGGCCCGGCCTGCATACAACCCCCCCCCCCCCGGCTTGTCTCCCTCCCCGGTCGTGCCATTCCGTAGCGCGGGCCAGAGTGGAAAAAGATTAGCGGGCCCTCTGCAGAAAACGCCGCTTCACATTCCCAATTTGACAGCTGCAATTTGCAGACGTGCATATGCTGTTGGTTCCTTTCCTTTACTCCAAGGTCTCCAACCGCGTCTGTCCCACCCCTAGTTCGGTGTGCTCGTAAATGTTAGCCCTGGTATGTTTGCCTGGGGGGTAAAGATGCCTGGACCCTGGGACGAGGAGGGGTTCGGTTCGGTTGGCCATTTTTGGGGGGGCCAGACGGGCTTTTGAAGGATGCGGGTATGGGGGGAGGAGAGAGAGAGGTAGAAGTTGGTTGGAATTTGTGACACGATTCCTTTCGCTCTTTTCTCTCTTCTTGGTGTATTGAGTCTGGGCGCAGTCACTTTTAATCGAAAGTATTTTTGGTCCCTTGCTATTTTGAGAAAATAACGACGACGACAACTTAAGGCCCGCCGACGTTGCTTCTAAAGTTCTGCTCTGCCAGTCTTCCTTACCCCCTGCAGATGTCACACTCATCAGAGCCTGATGGAGGAGAGATCGATCAGGCCAAGCATGATCAACTGTTTCTGAGCTTGAAAGCGAAGTTGATGGCGGATTATGGGATTGATCCAGACCGTGGTTTTGGTCAGCCTTCGAGGGGGCGGCAGCAGCATTCTCACGATGACGACGACGAAGAAGAGGGATGCGGTCACGCCACTTGCGAACATGGACATTCTGAGGACGTCCCTGTGAGTTTTCTGCCTTTCGTCTGTTTAGAATCTCACTCCCTTCAGCCTTTACCCCCCGCCTACCCCTGCCTCTTGGCTCATACTTCCTTCTGTCTCTTTCTTCAAGAAATAATGAACTGATTGTGTTTCGGGGTTTCCCCTGCTGAAGGGCTTGACGTCGTCTGGGCTGAGTCTGAGTGAATCCATACTGGAGTATCGTATGGAGAACGGGAGGACGTATCATCGGTACAAGGACGGCAGTAAGTGGGAGGCCCCAGTGGTCCGGGCTGGGTTATGGATGGTGTTGGTGTTGTTTCTGACCGGCCTTTTCTGCAGAATATACTCTTCCAAACGACCAGGCTGAGCAGGAGAGGTTAGGTGAGTCTTGTTGTTCCCTTCTACCGCCGGCATTTGGTTGGTGCTGCTGCTGCTGCTGCTGCAAGATACAGGCACAGCACTTCGTTTCGGCAGTTTCCTCCGACGTTCGAAGCGAAGTCCTTCGTCTCTCCCCATGTATCCAGGTCCTGACGGGAAGCTCAACTGCCAGATCTCCAGCACAACGTCTTTCTCCTTACGTTTGACAATAGGCTCGGACTCGCGCCGCCGTGCCAGAAGGGCGCCGAAGTCCCTGGTAGGGTCCTCGATGTTGGGACGGGGACGGGTATATGGGCTATTGACTTTGGTGATGAGCATCCCGAGGCTGAGGTTTGTCGAAACTCTCAAAGGTCATGGGGGAGTTTATTTGCTAATGAAAGTTGGCAAACACAAAGGTTCTTGGGATCGATCTTTCGCCTAATCAACCTACGTTGTGAGTTTGGAAATAGCTCCCTTATTCATCTCGACGTAGGACCTTACTGACACTTTTTCCATTCTAGCCTGCCGCCAAACGTCGACTTTGAAGTAGACGACATTGAAGAGGAGTGGTTGTTTGACGAGCCGTTTGACTATATCCACAGCCGTCTCATGACATCCAGCATCGCAGACTGGAAGGAGTACCTGAAGAATTGTTACGAGTTGAGTTCATCCCCCTGAGCTCCCCTGGACTGTGTCGCAAACCTAGACGTTCTTACACTCTCGCAACAGCAACCTCACACCAGGAGGCTACCTCGAGCTCCAAGAAGTCGACGTAGGCCCCTCCTGCGACGACGGCACCCTCGACCCCACGACCTCGGCTCTGGCGCGGTACTGCAACCTCTTACACGAGGCCTCGGTGATGCTGGGCCGGCCGTACCAGGAGATCCCCAAGCTCGCCGACGTGATGCGCGATCCGGAGATCGGGTTCGTGGACGTCGAGGTCCGCGTGTTCAAGTGGCCTACCAACGGGTGGCCTGCCGCGGACACGGAGGAAGGGAGGAGGTTGAAGGAAGTAGGCGTGTGGAGCGGGGAGAATATCGTTGCCGGGCTCGAGGGGTTCGCGATGGCGCCGTTTACGAGGGCGTTTGGGTGGTCCAAGGAAGATGTTGACGCGTTTTTGGTGGATGTGAAGAGGGAGATGAGGGATGAGAGTATCCATGCTTATGGGCTTGTGTGAGTCCTTTCCGCACGGGTACTTCGGTGTATCGTACATCATATGAGAGGAGAGGAGGGTTCTATGTGTGATGCATATGCTAACATCTTTCGACTAGGTATTCCATTGTGGGCAGGAAGCCTTTAGGATAACGAGTATGAAGGGCCAATGAGACCAAGATCTCAAGGCAAAGGAAAATGGGCCTGTAATCCTATTAATGAGTGGACATATCATTTCGAAATGTTTTGAGAGGTACATTTGCACTAAACAGGCGACCTTCAATGTCCCGAAGTTACTTGAGTATTTGAGAACGTTTCTTCTAAATCAAAGCGACTACACACGTGAGGGTCTTCTCATGCCAAACTGCATTCTCACATCGTACCTCTGCTCCTGTATATCGCAAAAATCTGTCCAGTATCCGGTCGTCGGTCATTCTCATAGACTCTCTTATATGACGGCGACTGCTGAAGTCCGCTTCGTTATGGGCTGCAACTGTCGGTCCTCAAGCTGAATACTAACCGTCAGCGATTTGATCTGCGCGCGGGCGTTCTAGGTTCCTAACTAACATCTCCGTATCAATTATTGAGCACTCGTCACGGATCCACTGTTCATTTGGTGCTTCTCCCCTCATCGTAAAGCCTCGACCAGAAGCTAAACACGTTCAGAGGCACCGTATGAGTCTTCTCCCCAAGTCAAGATGTAATTTTTATTGGTAAAGTATCATATTGCTTTCAGTTCCACAAACTCTATACTAGCAACCAGGGAAAACCGTACAGCGGATAAAAAACCCTGAAGCCAGCCCAGATTCTGGTGGATCTTTGAGGTCACTACCCCTTTTTTTTTCCTCAAACCCACGGGTCTCCTTCTGCCTACCTCGGGCAATTCAACCATTCTTATTTGATGAGGCGGCTCTGCCACTTGTCGTTGAAACGGTACCATACGGTAGGTATCGTATGGCCGTCTCCGAGACAATAGACCTTGATCTCCTTGTTGTCAGGTGTGGCAATTGCTTCGATGCCGCCATTGGAATCCAAGGCAAAGTTTTTCTCGTTAAGGTCGCCTTTGCGCCATCCGTTTCCATCAGCAGACAAGCAAAGCTCCATCAAGCGATTCTGCGAAGAACGGTAGTAGAGGCGGATCTGGACTCTCTGTCAGCAACAAATGGCGGCTTCCGCGTGAACTTTACACTCTATCATCGATTACGATAATCATACCTCTTCCTTGTCATCGCGGAGGAACCTGGCGACAGCCAAGCGGGCATTGTTCTGAGCAGCAAGTGGCGCGACAGACGGGTCGTTCACAGCAGCACCCGGGATGGTGACGGTGTCTGGACCATGGTATGCCTGTTTAGCGTTCTCGTTGGGGTCCTGCGATTTGTAGTAGTTGATCCTGCCAGTGGAGCTGTCAATGAAGTATAGGTGCGTGCTATTTGCGAAGGTTACGGCGGCGAGGTTGGCTGGGAAGGCCTTTCAATCCACAACGCGGTTAGAGGAGCTTCGACCTTTGGGAGACATGATGGGAAGACATACAGACATGGCGGTATATTGAGAGGTTGGTATCGGCGAAGTCTTGATCGAAGTGTAAGTGTGTTCTGATATCCTATCCTTCGAGCTCAGAAGAAAGGGCAAAGCAGCTTCTTATATACCCGTTGCAACCTAGCCACGAAATTGTATCAAGTAAAAAGTTTCCGTCGCCATTCCCTCGCCTCCAATCTTGTCTTGATTCAGCTCGCTACTTGGAGTCACGCCAAGATCTGCGAGAAAGCTGAATACCTGTCAAGAAGGTATCAAGCTCATCGACGTCTCCTCACGAAGTCTCGACTCGACCAGTCTTGGTCTACGAAACGAGTTGTATGCTGATGCATACTAGAGGGAAGTGGCTGGCTGGAAAGAAATATCGAACAATGCGTCACACTCGACACTGAGCACACTCGCGTCGAAGACAGGTCGTCTTTGCTCACCGCAACATCATACAAGAGCCAAAGCTCCGAAGGCTTGCATGAGTGAGATGCCCTTCACTTCATCATCAGATGAGTTGCCAAGTACTGATTTCGGGTTTCCCGTGGCCATTGGACGCCTACTCAAGCACTCCGGCCCTTGTCTGACCTGATGCTCTATGCACTGCCAGTAGATCGATCACGGTGGATCACCGGCAATCGGACCGCCGAGTGGTACACAGAAGTATCTGAGAAAGTGTTCGTCTTCGAGCCAGTCTCCAAGAAAGTTTCATCGTGGAAAGGTAGTCTGGTTCTCCATATTCGGCCATAGCATGTCTTCCTAAGGGCTGAATTCTGGCCACGACTCTTGGGTCCATTTCTCCTAGTTTGCAGCAACAGCAGCTGTTGACAAATGGAATTAATCTCTATTTGGTGCAGCTAGAGCTTCAAACACAGATCTCATTATGGTTCACTCACACCTGCAAGTAAACTGCAATTCTCCTCGATGGCCGAGAAGCGGTGAAGCAGAAAGGCGTTGCCATCTACCTAGTAATAGAAGTCAGTGTAACTTGATCGACGGTGCCAGTTAACATCACCGGGACACTGCTTTCTCGTACTTCACCGGCCTAAATCCCCTTCGGGGTCATTCTAAACAGCATTTCATGCACCCATGTATTAAAAGAACTAACTATATTGACATGGTCGTGGCCGGAGCGTCTGCTTCAACTACAATGTGTCGGATTTCTAGATCTGAATGTCTCGTGTCTTAGGCCCTCATCGCGGGGTAGAGCAAGGTCATGAGGTGTTTTTGATATTACTTGTTGACACTTGCTGAAGTAATTACTCATGGAGAGAGGAGTGCAGGACTCTCAGCCAGCCACATCATAGTCAATAAAACGGCAAATATACGCAGATCGTTCAGGCACACTAGGTATATGGTAAAGCTACGGCTCAGAGTTCACTTCCCTGATTAGCCAATAAAGTATTGACATCGTCGATTTGTAAAATCTGGCGAAGGAGCAAGAGGACTGTTGTATCAGACAATTTGATAACACTCAGACGAGCTACAGATTAGCACATCTGTTTTATCATTTACACTATGCTCTTGACTCGCATGCCCCCCTGTGGGCAAGCTGATGAGCTCCCCCCTTGCAATGGCGTTCTCAATCACTGAAGGCGCGGTGAAGGCACAAGCTGCAGTCAAGACACTTCTGTGGGATCTGCAAACATGCACCTGTTGCATCGCCCAACCACCCACCGATTGGGTGAGCAGACTTCTTAATGTCATTCCCCCCAACGACCGTTTGCGGGGACAGTAAGACGCTGCGGTCCGTCCCCTAAAGGCTTGTGTGGCGTCAGCTGAAGCAAGATAGTTGAGAGAAATAAATCTAGGTATGATGCTCCTATACAGATCGCAGGAGGAAGAAGAGGCGAAGTTCTCAGAAATACCGGATTCCTCAGTCCATGGTAGCTGTGTGATCGGTATTGGCCCCTTCCCCCTCATACTTTTTAGAATCCCAAGAAAACACCAAATGGCTAGCCACATTCTTAGCAATCAGTGATCTGCGTGGATTGTCGGTGTTACTTATATGGCCACTGCGCCTGAAAGGATGTCGAAGTCTCCGTGACGCGGCCGGACGTCACGGAGCCGATTTTGCGGGGCGCTTGCGCCGGCCTACTCCAAAAGAACGAATATTCGGAAACAGTCGAGTAAAGTGCAACTTAATGAAGAAACGTCGCCTCGCATGCCTCTTGCAATCGAGAGTATTTATTGGTAACATGGTAGCCTCGAGGTAAGGCAGAGCTGTTTGTGGCTGCACATAGGTTGCACAGGTCCATGATAGAGTACATATAGCAAGAATCGTCAGGAATAGCATGGCACGTTTCGGCACGTTGATCGTCACTCTAAAACATAGGTGTAGTGCATGTGACTGCTCACTCAAGATATCTAGGTGATTGAAATGTCTAGCTTCATTGACAATGGGAACAGCTAACTAGGTACTGAGGTATCCTTACAGGCCCGTCATGGCCTCAATCAAAAACAAGCTATACTAGCAGTCCAACAGAAAAAAAAGCCAGTAGAAACCGACAATAAGCCACTCCAAACGACGAAGATGCGGCTCGGGTTCCCAAATCATGCTTTTCCCACCCTCCCAGGCCGCAACAGCATCTGGTATCTCTCCAGCCTCCCAATTTACTCCAAACGCCACTTGGCAGAGTGCCATTTCCAGGACCGACCCCAAAACGTAGTCCAACAGAGAGAAAGAACGGTTACTTTACATGCCAAGCCTCCAAAAGCTATGCATTAATCGAGTGGTCTTCGCCAAAGCAAGCAGCGAACGTCTATGCCTCCACCGCAACAGCCGGGGCGCTGACTGCTGCTGGCTCGGGCTGATTGAGCTCCTCCTCCTCGGCGATCTCGCCGCCTGCTTCGCGTTCAGCCCAGGCTCCCCAGAGGCCACGCTTGGCTCGGACTTTGATAGGTGCGCCGAGTGTCTCGCCCTGCTCAACCTTGATCGCGTCCTTCGTGGCCAAGACGAGACATTCGAAAAACATCTTGGTGGCGTCAGCCTTCGTCGTTCTCCCCTCGGGAAGGAGGTCTTGGAAGACCACGGCAGTCTTCTTGCGCTTGTCGGCGTCGTGCTCGGCGTCGGGGCCAAAAATGTCTCTTAGCACGTGGACAGCGTGCTTGGTACCCATAGAAACCGGACCACTGTCCTGAGGGTGGACGGCAGGAGCTGTTGTCTCGTCAAAGTCGGGCATGGCGCTGCCTTCGCGCGAAACAGGTCGGCCGGTATTGTCGTCGTCTCCTCCAAAAGCAATGCCCTCCTCATCAGCCGGGATCTCAATAATAGTGCCATCGGCCGCTATGCTTTGGTTGCCCAAACCGGCATCTTCGACAGCAAACGCGTCATCCTCTTCGACGTTCAGGCGAGGCGACTTGGATGTGGCGCCGTTGTCACTCTCCACATCAGCGATTCCGCTGTCCCGCTTCCTCTTCAACTCGTTTGATCGGCTGACAGCCTCGAGAGAAAGCATTCCTCTCAGCTCAGGTGCCCAACCGGCACTGCGACCGTCAAGCATGATGTTGGAGACGAAGCCGCCACTCTTTTGCATCTCCATAAGAGCCAGAACGAAAGGATCTCTAGGCAAGAACGATTGAGCTCTGAGGATGTTGGCGTGGTTGGCTTGTTGGTCTTTGATGTGAGTGCTTGAAAGCATCGTCTGCTCGTCAGGCAACAGAACCTTCCTCTTCTTGGCTCGTTGAGGATGACGAATGACTGTATGCTCCTCCTCCTCATCTGGCTCATAGAGATCTGTGTGCTGGATACGGGAGTATTCCTCCTCAACTTCTCTCGCGAACTCCGGGTCGATTTCCGACAGTGGTGATTCGGAGATACGACCACGAGGCATATCCAGAGGACCTCCAGCAAGACCGGGAACAACAGATTGATCGCCGAGAGGGAATTGGAAGTCGTCATCGCCCATTTGAATGTCACCCTCCTCGTCAGCGATACGGACGGTGTCGTCACCAAAGTCAAGGTTCAGACCCAGTGAAGGCTCACGTTCGGTCTGGTCCTTGCCTCGCGGCATGATGTCGAGCTCGCTGAACATGTCGTCCTCGACTGAGCGAGCCAGAGGCGCGTCTCTTCCCATTTCGATGGTCGTATCCATGCGGGTGGGTCGCTCATCAATGTCCATGCCAAAGTCGAGTTCAAGATCGAGATCTTCCATAGGTGCAAGCTCCAGTTCGTCATCGAGGGTGTCCGCCTGGTTGAGGAATTGGCTGTTGTTGAAATCCTCTTGAAGGTTAATGTCGCGGTTGCTGACACGCCCCTTGCGACCGACTGGAGTAGCTGTGACATCGTCCATTTGCGACAAAAGCCAAGCGGCATCAGGAGGCGGCGGGAGATCCAGGTTGTCTAGTGGAGTAATCTTGTCAGGCAGCAGCAGCGCTTCGCGGTTGTTGACGTAGAGATTGGCGGCTGCCATGTCGTGATTGTCACTCGAGCGGAAGGCCTAAAAAAGTCAGTAAAACGCGTCAAATATCCAAACAAGAGGCAAGAAGCGCACCATCTTGATCTTCATTGAAGCCTCATTGCAATCCTCGAGCAGATAACGGGCTTTGCGATTGTAGATTCTGACAACACCCAGCAGCAACTGGCCACTTAAACGAAGAGCCATCGGGGCCTGGCCAGGCGTAATGATAGCCTCTACACTGTCCGGCAGGTTGGACTGCAAAATGTGCGTCTTTGAAAGCTTGCGCTCAATGTTGGCCGACAGCCAAACGCGGGCCAACGGCCCGCTCTTCTGGAGAAGCGTCTCCGAATAGAACATGGCGGCGACAACGATTCGTGACGCGAGGGTGTTGATGCAAGAGGCAAGAAGCAAGAGCTACTCCTCGTTAGGTATATAGGCAGCGACGCGCGCCGGTGTTGGAGGGGTGGTTGCGGAAGCTCTCGTAAACACGAAAACGCGTTGTTATGGGAAATCGGGTCGCGTTGGGGATGTAGCGGTCGGGGCGAAGTCTAACACGCGCGGAGTACGAGGCGCGGTGACATGAAGCAAGTCGTGAGGATCGCGAAAGGCTGAAAAGTA